AAAGATTCTAGGCTGAAATTCACTTTTCTGTTTTTGTAAGGTATTTCATAAAAAAGTAATTTAATTTAAGAGAAAGATTTTTCTATTGTAGCTTCACTAAGTTTCATTTTTGGGTTCGGATGACCATAAAAGATTTTCTTTTTGTTTAATTTTCTCTGGAATTTTTCATATCCTTGCAGTAAATTCATTGCATCAATAAATATCACTACAATGGAGGGGAATCCTAGAAGTTTGCAAACCGCTTGTTTAGAAGTGTGGTTCTGCTGCAACAGGCAGTAATAGAGGAGCTCTAAGTATGTGGGGTTTTGAAAAGAAAATTTCATGATTCCCATAGCAGCTAAATTATTTTTTTCCTATGAAGTACCTCAGTCACCTAGTAGTAAGCAGATGATGCATAGAGCTAAAACCGTCATGTGGCAAACATAGTGCATCCCGGGCAGCCGTTAGAAGCCACTTGTGAACAAATTCAGCTTCTTAGGCCTGGTCCAGATCCTTAGGCTTGTACAGTTTGAGGTTAATTAAATACTCCGTGTACGAGAACATTCGGACAGAATGGCATCATATCTGTTTGCGTGCGCGTGTCCTTGGCTGGAGAGAGTTCAGCAAGCGCCTCGCTCCTCCCTTGACAGCGCGTTCCGGGAAGCAGAGCCCTTGGGGGGTCGATCTGTCTGCCTGCCTGCAGGTTTTTTGGGGGAAATGTCTCTGGTCTCTGGGTGAAGCGCGTGTGGCAGCTGCGCTGCAAGTGCAAAATCGCCTCGGAGCATCTTCACGAGCCCCAGAGCCGCTGCCTCGAGTGAGCGCCCGGCAGCTGTGAAGCCATCCCGCCTGTTTGGACGGGCCTGCAGCCAGCGGGGAGCAGCCCCCCAAACTCAGCGTTCAAGGCTTCTGCCTCTCTTCTTGTGTTTGACGTAGTTTGTGGTCAGATGTAACCTGACAGCAACAGCTTGACGAGCTGGTAATACACTTCACTTGCAAAATGCACGTGCTAAGGCTGCAAACACTTTTATTTAAGCTGTGTCATGTTCATGCATAGCAGGAGGATTTTTTTTTTCCTTCTGTGGATCTACTATAGGAAATCCGAGGAGATCTTGAGTTTTTATCTTGTAAAGTATGACTGATATTTTTACAACCTCTGAGAAAAAGTCTGACTTTCTCCAGTCACGCTAATTTATCTGGACAGTCGTTCAGATACCAATCACAGGCTGAAAGAGATTCTCTTACGATTTGCTCCCTGAAGCATGTGTGCCCCAGTTTCTAGCCATTAGGGTGTTTCATAAGCTTCTATTACTTACCGTATTGGTGAAAAAGACGAGATAAAAAAGGAAATAAGTTTTTTTGGGTCTCACATAGTCCAAGAATGACATTAAGATAGTAGTTGGTGTTGTAAAAATAAGTTCTTGGTCATTAAGAAAGTCCTGCAGTAGCTTCTAGGGATGGTCCAAGAGAAACTGGAGGAGTTTCCGCTGCTGATGTAACATCAGCGCAAGCCCAGTGACGCCGTGTCAGGGTGTCACGCTGGATTGCCTGGCGGATGTCAACCTGCTCATCTGACCAGGCTGTCCTTCCTCTCTGCCAAGCTGAGCAGGACTATATCTTCTCCCGAGTCAAATCCTGGTGCATGTAGACATTTTCACTCTTTTTACTCGAGTAAAAATGTCTGAGCGGTGACAAAGGAGATGCGAGGATCCCCGTGTCCGCTCTGCACCCGGCGCGTGGCCGTAGGAGGTGGGTGTTCAACCAGAGTCACGCGCCACTGGCTTCGCCAGGCTCCTCCCGAAGAGCCTCTGTGGGTTTCCACAGGGACGCGTCTCCGCGGAGTGAGTTGGTAGTAGGAGGCGAGGAACCGTGACGCAGCCCGCGTTGTTCTCATTCAAAATAGAGGAAAGCGTAAGCAGTTAATCAAATCTGAGCCCGCATTAACCCCATCTTTCCTTCCATTTTGATGAATCCGTCTGGAGGACTCGCGCCAAAGAATGCTATGGTTATTGCTATATGCATATATGCACTTAATCAGCCTTTCCTGCTTTGGAGCCGCTAAAACGGTATGTCTGCAATGGGTTGTCTCCGCCTACATAAGAGCATGAGCCTTGCTTTCCAGGAACCTTTCCAAGAAAATTTGAGGGCTGAACGCACTGCAGTGCCTTCTCTTCATCTGTATTTTTCTATGCGGGAAAGAAGGAATAGTTGAGAGTTAAAATTTTCAAGCTATACATATGCTTGCTTGAATGCTATCCCCACAACTTATTTAATAAGTGAAATAATGTTATTTTATACAGCCTGAGGTTCTCTTCTAACAGCCTTTCTTAAATCTGCACATTACTTAATGAAATCTATCACATAATGACCCACAGTTTTACTCCCACCCTCTGGTTTATCTGCCGTTTTTTCTGGGAGACAGCATTTTAGTCTGTTCCTACCCTACATCGTATTCGTTGTTGTGGCACTAAACCTTCACAATCGTTCATCTGATTCCATTAATTGCTTTACGGGATATACATTGTACAGACAGAACTATCTTTTTTTGAATGTCAAGTCAGATTTCGGAAACGTTCTTGTTGTTACATTGTCCCTGGAAAACCCTGGACAGAAAACTACCTTTATTAAAACTGCATTCATTACCAAATCCACAGAAACAGAGTCTTTGAATGAATAGCAGTTTGTCAAGCAACGTGTCATAAAAGGCAGTAACTAAAGGAAACCAAAGTAAAACATTCGCTTTCATTATTGAACATTTTTAGCTTTATTATTATAATAGAATTACAGTCTGACATAAAATAAAGAGCTCTTGCTAAACTCTGTAAAGCAATACATGCTTCTGCCATAAACAACCTCTATTAGATTTAGGTTTTATTGCCACATCACTGCACTGAGGTGCAATAAACATTCAATGTCATCTTTTTAAAATTATCCCAGGAGTAAACAGCAACTGTCCTCTATAAGAGTGTATCATTATTTTCAAGGAAGACTTACTATTATTACATGGTTTAGCAAAGCATTGTAAAAAAGCTACATAGAGAATACCTTGTCTTGGATCAACTGTGCAATCGAGTTTATACAGTATAGTGCTGTTGGCATAGACTAACTAAGAGGTGATATAATGCAGTCCTTGCATAGCAAAAAGCAGACTAGTTAAGAAATAGTCACATCTAATGTGCAAAATGCAGACCAAAAGGTAGCTATGAACTGCTGGAAAGATAAAATGCCCTCAATGAACACACTAACGCCAAAAATAACAAGATAAACAAATACACAGAAGTTAAAGAGCCATAGTTTATTTTTTTCTATACATATATCTACACATGATACCAGAAGATGAAACATCCCCTTTTAAGAAGCTCCAATCAGATAACTTATCAAGTTTAGACAGGACTAAATGTTAGACAATGAAGCATTATTTAAAAAAAAAAAAACCAACCCAAACTTCTCTAAATAAAACATTAACTATTTCCTTTTGTAGCTAGAGAACACCAGCTTTTTGATTTATTGAGAAAGAGTTTAGAAAACATTGCCTACGAAATTTGACTCTCAGTAGCTGTTTCTCTGGAGGCTCACGTAGCATTGTTTTAAAATTATTCGATACCACGTATTACGGTTTTTTAACTGATGCTTGCAAATATCCACCATTCTTCCCATCTCTTGGAAAAATATTTATCTGAAATTTTATTTCTAAGAACCAGCAGTAATGGTACTGACTAGAATTTGTTTAAAGGGAGCACAATACTTCCAAAATGGACGTCTTGTATTTAAAGCCCTTACATATTGTTCCTACAAATATATTGCTACAGTAAAAATGAAATGTAGTAAGTTTACTCAGTAAAATCTATTTTCCTGTACATTCTTTTCTGTATGACTTTTTTGTATTTAATGCTACATATATTACATCACTTATTGTAACAGTTATGTATCGGCAAATATAGCAGTAATATACAGATGAACTTCTGTCTTAACAAATATGTCACCATTTTTACCTACCAAATGTAATCCCATACTTTAGTATTTATGCATGACCTGAGCAGACCAGTCATTAATCTAATAGTATACATTGGATGACATTGTCGAATTGCGAGCTACTGTACACTTAACCACTTTACAAATGGAATTCATTCCAAGCACTTTCTGCGTATCTATTTTTTTAGGCTTTCCAGTACCACTGTTTTGTTTTTTTATTCAGGCTCTAAATATGTTTTACTGAGCATTTAACAACATATTAAGAGCTAAGAGGTGAATCCTACACAATGTTTTAAGAACACAACTTTAAAAAAGTAAAAAAATGTACAATCTCATGCTGAATATTTACATATATTATTTAAATACTATATTTTTTCTTTCTGCTTTCCATAAATCTCAGTCTAAAGCTTCTTTTTAACGTATCATTTTATAAAAGAATACATTCAACATATCTAGGGCTTGCAAAAATTGTTGGTTTGTTGGTTTTATTTTTTTTTAACTCTCCAAAACGTAGTGATGAGTAAAAGCTATCTGTAAAAGCCTCCTGGAATTGTTTAGATTAGGCAGGTGACAGAGGGAACTGGGGATCGGGCTGGATTGTGCGACCGGTTTTCAATCCAGTCTGGTGAGAACTGACTGCGCAGAGCAGGGCTGCAGGGAGACAGCAGCTGAAAGCCTTTGTTACCATTAGCTCTCACGTGCCGTACAGTGGCAAACCCTACCTAGAGTGAGGAGGTTTCTTTCTTCTTGAAAGACCATTTCATATTGTAAGTCAGGTGGTTTGGAATATAGATGAGAAAAGGGATTAGGAAAATACCATATCTCACGGGATTCAGCAAAGGGAAAGCTTTACAACCTTGAAAAGACTATAAACAGTGGGTGAATAAATGCTATGGTATAGTATGTGCACCAGGGACGTCATCCAAGAATATTTTCCCACTCCCCACAATGCTCTGAATAAAAATATCTTTTTCACATACATATACAATACCTTTCAGGGACATTCAGTACTAAGCTATCTACAAATGGTTTCCTTTTTTTTTATTATTATTCTACAACTCTTTCTTTCCCGTTTTCAGAATCACTTTTCCAAACTATAGTTTATATTGTTCTCTCCCCCACACAAAGTTTTTTTTAAATATACAGATATATTTTACCTTTTGTTAAATAAAGAAACCTTTATTTTCTCGAAGACAGAGGCAATGCAGCAAATGGGAATTACTGTATGTGAAAACGGGAAGCAACTCCCAGAGCAAAAGACGAAACAGAACTATACGAACAAATGAGGTTATTGGTGTGGAGTTGGAGCTTTTAACTGGGGCTCCCGGTTTAAATAGGTAGCCCAATAGACTAAGTTAAAGATGCCAAAAAGCAACGGGAAGGCTATTCTTGATAGTCGATCAATTTTACTGACGCTGTTAAAAGTTTTCTTGGGTTCTGCAGGTTTTGTTTCTGGCTTAACTTCTTTGGGCTCAATCGTTGCACTTTTGGCAATGGTTGCCAGCCCAGGGTCCCTTGCAATATTAGGGGTGTAGCTCGTAGCTGCAGCTGTGTAGGTGTTATTTTTCTTAATGAGAGGATCCTTCACTTTCTTTGGCTGAAGAAAGAAGAAAATGTTTTATTCTTACCGTCTTCTCAAAAGACAAAATTATGATACAGCATCATAAAATTTTGCAATTAATTGAATTAATACCACAAATTGTAATAAGCTGTTAGAAAGAAGTTAGTGTCTGGATACAACTCATGCAAAAAATTTAGGTGAAAACAAAGACAAAATCATCTGTGTTACTTGTATTAATTAAACCAAATTAGATGATGGATAAACAAAACTACCTTTAATCAACAGTGACAAACCACTCATAATTCAATGTCCCCTTCATCAACTGCATTTCATGACCAGGACAAAAACTTTAAGACCCTGAATTTCTTGATGTAGCTTTCCAATATTAGGACAAATAACTAAAGGTTTACACCAAAAGCAGATGCATTATGGAACAGAGATGTTGTTCTTGTTTGAATGTCACAATTGGATCATGATGGCTGAAATGTCACTCCACAAGGGCTTGAACAGCCGTATGATTGTCGCATCCACCTATCTATACCGCTAACGCAAGGATGTATTGAAAAATCTCCTAGTGGGGATGAACTTCTTGATCAGAAAGACTATCTAGATTTTTCCCCTGCTAGTATTCTACTTCTGGGATCTACTCGTAGGAAAAAATTTTGATTTGGACATCTGGGGTTACCAGCTGGGATTCAGCTGTCCCTGTGCGGACAGCCCAGACCTTTCGTCCAGCCACTGCAGAAGGAGGAACGCAGCAGAGGGATGTAGTGGGTCGTTAAGGAGGTGTAAAGGCAAGCACCACTTTGCACCAAGTTCCTCTGGTCATGAGGAAAAAAAACAGACAACAAAAACATCTCAGGAGCTTAGAAACTCTTTAGGGCAGCATTTTCCACAAAAAAAGAATAGGCAAATGCTATCCTCTCTGTCCTCTCAGCAGGGAAAAACAAAAAGATATGGCTAAAGAGAAAATATCAGCAGAGTGTGCTCTGTCCCGTCATTGCACAGAACAGCAAATACAAGTCTCTTTTCAAGGAGCAGCTGTCCCGCAGAGGCAATGCTGTTTAAAGCAGTCACGGGACTTCTAATGACAGACCAGCCAGAGACTGGTGGCCCTGCAGACCGCCCTGGGGGGTTCTGGCAGAAGGTCCTTGCTCAAGAGGCGAGAGTTTCGGGGAGCGGCTGGGGGGGGG